TTTTATATATATATATATATATATATATATATATATTAATTCCCATGAAATTTATTCGCGTGCAGTGCCTTAGCAAAATGGGTGTCCTCCCTAGGCAAAATCGACATTCCGGACGCGCCGGTGCAATCCGTTTTGTCATCCGGGGTCGCTCGGACAACATCGTCGACAATCGGGTCAAAAACACGTCAAAATTCAAATTTCATAAAATTTTGATTTGCGATCGATCGTCTCCAACAATCTATTCAAGTCCTCGACAGATAACGGTGCAAGCAATGCGAATTGTAGTGATAGGACGTGTCGACTCTCCGAATTGTGAAGTTTGTGAGCGTGGGAGTGCAAATTGTGCAAAAGGCACCCTAAGGCTTAAAGATCCTATAGGGACTCCTTTTGAGTTCCCTCGTGTTGGTTTCAACCTCCTACGTGCTAGAGGTCAAGAACCACATGCAGAACTTCAAAAGACTACAGAAGTAGGTTGAATTTCTAAAATGAGGCGGGTCCCATTTCTAAGGCTCTAGGATAGTCAAAGGGAGATTACTAAGGCTAGATCATATACCCTAAGAGAAAGACTAGACATCATTAAAAATGAGGTCAACAGTGCCCACAAAGAATAACAGAAAATTGTGAATTTTTTCAGTGGGCAAATAGGCTGAAAGATTCCACCACCGAGAGTGGTTGGGCATGAAGAGAATCTCTGGAGAACGGCTTATAGCTCGTGATATATGTAGTCTGCATTTTAAAATAATATTATCATATTATTAAATGTTATTTTAATAGTTTTTTTCTTAATTTTAGTAATCATGATACTAACTAATAAGTAAAGTGTATTTATATATATTTTATTTGTAATGTTATGCACTGGATATTTGCTTCTAAAGTATAAAATATATTGGTATAACAGTTCTGTTGCAAACAACATTACTATACAAGAGTGGAATAATTATTTGTCCAGAAACAGCTGCAGCACAACTGTTTTTAAACTGCAAAAAACAAACAGACAATCAGTTCATCCGCAGCATCTTCTGCACAGCAACTTCCTGTAGCAGCTGCTGACAGACCAGTTAAGAATTCAGAAAAGAGTCTGGTCTCTAATACCATGCAAAGAAATGATGACTAAGAAAAGTGATTATCTAATTGATTCAAGATAATAGTTAAATATATGTGCATTAGTGCCTGCATATAAGAAGAAAATTGCAAATGGGAGCAACATGAACATCTGCAAATACCTATTAAAAAGGTAAAAAAATAATGCTTCTCTCCTTTCCTAACCACACTGAATAAGATGGCATAAATTGTACTTAATAATTAACGGACAATCTTCAAGACAGAGCAAAATCAGGGAATGTCACTTCCAACCCGCATCAAAAGAAAATGATATAAAAAACTTGAAGCACCACACATCTTTCAGAAATAGCAATACTGGATAGATAAAATATTAAAAAGTAGGGGCATTTACATACATACCACACAAATCTTATTATTTACCATATCTAGCAGCCAAACTTTCATATTTACATGCATAGGACTCAAATCTTTAATATCACATCAAAAATAACACAATTACCAACTTTTTAAAAGTAAAATACACATTTTCGTGCATAGGTTTGTCACACCAGATTGTTACGCATGTAAATATGAAAATTCAGGTTAAAGATATGCAACTACATAAGAATTGTGTGGTATGTATTTAAATTTCCCTAAAAGGTAATAGATAACAACAAAAGATTAGATGGATTAAAATTATGCAAAATGTGCAAATTATAGTTGTAACTTGAGGGTAAGATATTAAAATACCAATCCAATGCACTGCCCCACCCAGGGACAGTGATGATCAAATTGTTCCACACAATTATTACAGATTGAGCAATGTGAACAACGAGGAGGCCTATAAAGCATGCATGTATCACAATATTTGACTTTCACAGGCACGCCATTAGCCATCACTTCCTTTATGCGAGGAATCTGGTAGCTGGGTGTTGAATCCATTATACTTGAATCATAGGAGAGTTCTTCCTCTGGTGGATGGGAAGCCCGGGGAATGATACCGGGATCTTGTGCAGAAGTAAGCATCAGTAGCACAAGCACCTAAAACACATGTTATTAGCATAACATAGAAGGCTTGCAATGTTCAACAAATTAATGTGAAAACTTAAAGAATTTCATAAATACATTTCCCCCAAATTTAAAGTTAATTGTGATATCACATGTGGAGCAAATTAGAAGAAAATCTTGTGCCTAAAAAGAAAAACTTCAACCAGGAAAAACTAGCTCAGTTATAAAAAAAAAAACTATCGCAGGATCCCTTGGATGATAGAAAACAGTGACATCATGAAAGAACCCACGTTCAAGAGGAAGACAAGTGTCAAATATCCATTTTGCAGTCAAACAAAGGCTTAATTTGCTTAATTTGTTATGTATACAACATACTGCTTTTGTATAGCGTGGCAGAGAACAACTTCACAACTTCACTTTATACGCAAAGAAGCAACAAGTGGAACCGTTCTAGAGCTTCACAGTAATGGAAAACATAATTTTAGAGCAACTTGTCAATCTATAATAGAGTTGAAATGACTTTACTTCATTCGATATAGTCTGCCAAACGGAATCTAAGATGCTTGTCATAACACCAAAAAGTCAGAACAATAAAGCATGTGTATATATAATGCATATCTAAGCTTGGGCCAATGTATGATTTGAGAAACAATAAATAATTTAATATCACAATGTTTTTAAGCTAGTGATGAATCAATCTTCCTGAATCCTTCTTTATAGAAGCATTACTAAGCTTTGGAGACCTCATATGTAATCTTCATCATCATTAGGCTTTTGGACAAACTATTTTGGGTTGATTTCATGAATCCTTGTCCTCTAGTCATTTATTCTGAAATTTAGGAGGAACTTTCTTAGAGATAAAGCTCTTTAGTCTTCTCATTAAACTAATACAAACAAATAATAAATATATAAAACTCAGCTAACCATCATACAAATGGAGGGAAAAGCCAAATCATCATAGTAAGTAAAGAAATAAAACACCATAATGGATAATTAAATGAAGAATAATTTTTCCCCTCAAATGTAGCAGCAAACACTTAATTTCCTAAACTGTGGGTGGGCCCCTGTGGTTCACAATATACATATTAACACTCTCCCTCAAGTTGGGTTGTATATATCATACATCCCAAACTTACTATCGACATAACTAAAGTGATGCTGAGGAAGAGTTTTGATAATAATGTTGGCAATCTGATACTGAGTTGGGATATAGCTTACCTGGACAATCCATCCATTAAACTTCTCAGAGATAAAGTGTTTGCAGTCTCTATATATATGTATATCGGATTCTTTGAAATAATGATAATTGTTTGATTATCACTGAATATCTTAATAGTGCTTTGTTCTCCATGTGTAGTTCCACCGATAATTTCTTTAGCCACATACCTTCACAAATTACAAGGACCAAGGTACGATATTCATATTTTGCACTACTTCTTGCCACCCTAACTTGCTTTTTATTTATTTAGGTAACCAGATTACCCTATACAAATGAACAGTAACCTATGGTAGAACTTCTATTTGTCAATTCTTATGCCCAGCTAACATTGGTGTAGATCCCAATTTTATAGTAATCAATTTTCTTGAATATTAATCCACGTTTTAGAGTCATCTTTAGGTATCTCAGAATTCAAAAGAACGTTTCTAAATGATCTTCTTTGAATCGTTCGTATGTGCACTCGCTACGCCCACAGAAAAATAATGTCAGGTATTGTATGTGACAGGTAAATAAATATCCCCAAAATTCTTTGATTCCTCTCTTTTTCAACTGGGTCGATTGCGATTCATAAGTGTCTATTGTTTTGCACCCCGACAATCATGTCTCATTCAATAAGTCAATGATATATTTTCTATGAGATATACTTATGCCTTATTTGGATCTAACTACCTTCAATCCAATGAAGTATCATATAATACAACATCTTTGATCTCAAACTCAGAAGTCATTGTTCTTTTGATTGTTTCAAGTTCTCTTACATCATCACCTACAAAAATAATATCATCTACATGTACAATAAGGATGACTATCATACCTTCTTGATTTGATTTCATAAACAAAGTGTGACCAACCTGACACTAATATTATCCATTGGAAAGAACAATCTTGGTGAATCTTCCGAATGATGCTTTGGGAGATTATTTCAACCCATACATTGATTTCTTTAGTTTGCACATTAGCTGATTATTTGTGTTGTTTCTTAATCCTGAAGGTATCTCCATATACACTTCTTCCTCAAAATATCCATTAAAAAATATATTTTAATATCTAGCTGATGTACAGGCCAATCCTGGTATACAACAAATGAAAGTAATATTCTTACTGCGTTGAGTTTTGCCACTAGCGCAAATATCTCCTGATAGTTAATTCCATAGGACTGAGTAAACCCTTTTGCTACAAGTCTAGCCTTGAATATTTCTTTGCTCCCATTTGCTTTTTATTTAACATTGAATTCTCATATGCATCATACAGTTCTTTTCCCAGATGACAAATTGTTATGATCCAAGTATCATTCTTTTCAAGAGTAAGAAGCTCTTCTTCCATATCATTTTTTCAAGAATAGATAAAGCCTCTTGGATTGAATCTGGGACCTGCACATTATCCAATTTTGAACAAAATATTTGTAAGAAAATGATAATTTTCTATAGGTCACAAATTCTTCTATCAGGTGTTTTGTGCATTCACGTGCTTCTTCCTCTTAGTTCCCATGATGTGTTGACCTAACTTTTGTGTGAATACTTGGGGTGTGTGGAGTTGATTATGATGATTTGCATTCCTGATTTTGCATATTATCCCTTACATGCTCTTTAGGTTTTTTCTTACTAGTGTACACACAGAGTTCTTGGCTCTTAATAGGAGTTGTGGTAGAATTATGTGGAATAGTGGATTCAACTTTAAGTTGGTTTGTGATAGTGGAAACAAGAGTGGGTTCATCAGGGATAAAAGTAGGTGAGGTTAGGGTTCCTGAGTGATACCCAGATCTGATATTCTCTCCAATCTCGCTCACAATGTTAGATTTGGAGCAATATGGTTAGTTTTTAAAGAAGGCGACATCCATGAAGTTGTAAAATTTTTGTGTTTCTAAAGAGAATTATTTATATCCCTTTTTATTTGAAGAGTAGCCAACAAAAATGCATTTGATTGAATTATGCTCAAGTTTGGCTTAATGTGGTTGATGTAGATGAACAAAAGTGATGTAACCAAAAATTTTCAGTAGTAGGTTAGTGGTGAAGGACTGAAATTGGGGGTACGATTTTATGAGGGCATTGAAAGTTGTGTTAACGTTTAGCACTCTATTGAGCATCCTATTTATGAGATAAGTGTGTGTAAATTGCATCTCCCTAGAAGTGTTCAGATACATTGTTAATTAATAGAATTGAACGAGCCACTTCGAAGAGATGTCTGCTCTTTCTCTCAGCCACACCATTTCGTTAGCGTGTGTCAACAAAAAAGCTTATATGAATGATGTCATTTTTGGATAGATAAGGGTCGAGAGTGGAGTTGTAGAAGTCTTTTTCATTATGAGTTTTAAGAATCTGAATTTTGCTCTGAAATTAAGTGAGAATTACGTTGTGAAAGATTTTAAATATGTTGACAGTTTCATATTTTTCCTTAACGAGAAATTCCAAGTGATTCTGGTGTGATCATCAATGAAAGTGACAAACCGCTCAGCCCCATTTATATATTTTTTAAGGCCCCAAATATCACTATAAACTATGGAGAAGGGATGTGTTGGTTTTTATTTTAGGCTTGGGTACACCTGTCGAGTATGTTTAGCAAATTGACAAATTTCACACTAATAAGAACTAGAATTTTTTATGATAAACAAATAAGGATATAATTTTTCAATATAATAGAAATTAAGACACCCAAGGTGAAAATGACAACATAACTTGAGTCTCATGAGAAACAGACTCAGATGCAAGACTTGACTCAAAGGATCGTGAATGTTGAGACGGTTATTTTGAAGTGGGAGTCTAGTAAGCAAATAAAGTTAATGATACATATCAACACTGTCAATCACCTTCTCCGAGCCCATCATCTAAATTTCACACAAATTAGATTATAATTTAATAACACAATTTATATAACGAGTAAGTTTACATATAGACAGTAAATTGCAGTTAAGTTTACGAACATAAAGCACATATTGAAGAATAAGATTTATTGTCAGTTTCACAATTTCTCTTCCTTCCACAAAGGAGAGAGCCATATGTGATTCTAACTATAATATGGTGCTTGTAAGAATAGAAGGAATGGAAAACAATGATATTACATGTCATGTGATTAGATGCCGCAGAGTCCACTATCTAAAGCTGAATCTTCCTGTTGAGAGCAACAAGAGCAGACGAAAGTCTACCTTGATGTGTTAGAAGGCTGGTAGAAGGCTCATAATATTATCCTAGAAGCCTTTGGAGAGTTTTAAGTTGTTCTTTGTTGAATAGACTATGTTTACGAGGCTCGTCTTCCTTTGATACAATGATTGCTTGATTTTTCTCATCACCTTTGGCTTTGTTAGGCTTCCAATCTACAGGTCTTCCATAAATTTTTCAACACTTATCCTTCAGATGACCAAGCATCCTGCAATGTCACACCACAGTTTGTTCCTCTTTGATTTGTTGTCCTGAAGTGATTTGTGAGTATATAAAGCCAAGTTGGCAAGATTTGATATAATGGAATTATATGTCATCATGAGTTTCTTTTTGCTCTATTTGCTTCATATATCAAAAAATGCTTCACGAATCGAGGGAAGAGGTTTGGTTCCCATGATTCTTTCTCTGACTTCATCTAGTTACTTGTTGAGTCCAAGACGGAACTAGAAGACTCTTATGTTCAACAATGATTTTGCAAAAAGCAGTCATGTGAGTACCTCCATGTATGCTTCATACATATCTAGTTGAAGCCAATATTTAGAGAAAGTGTTGAATGAGTAATATTCACTCACCTTATCACAGGTCATGTAATCTAATTTCAATGTCAAACAACTCAAAAGTATTGTCAACACTTGAATAGTTTTCCTTTGCGACATCCCAAATTTTCTTTTATCGTTTTGTACAGGAGGGAGATTTCTCTGATTTTTGTGGTCATGGAGTTGACAAGTCATTAGATAACCATGCGATCTTCAATTTTTTATGTCTAATATTTAGGGTTAGTAATTTCTGATGCAAGACTTTCCCCGGTGAGATGATAATCTTTTCCATTACCACAGATGTACATGAACACAAATTGAGATCATTGGAAGAAATTGTTGTCATCCCAAACTTTCGTAGAAGAAAAAAATCTCTAATTTTCTCATTAAATTAATACAAAAAAAAATAAATATGTACAGCTCAGACTAATACTCATACAATTGGAGAGAAAATTCAAATAATCATGTAATAATAGATAATTACAGGGAGGATAATTTCTCCCCCTCAAATGTAGCAGTGGATTCACAGTTTCCTGAACCGTAAGCGGGACCATGTGATACCATATGCATATCAACATTTATAAATCATTGTTTTTCATTCAGTTCAAAAATAGAAGAGATAAGATGAAGATGTAAAAAATATGCAAATGTATTAAACATGCATTCTATTTCTATTAACGAAAGATGAATCCTTTGAAAATGGAGTGGAAGGGATCGTTTCAGTTGTATTCTACAAGCAACTTTCAAATCTTCAATCATTCAAGAAATATTATGTTTTTATGAGTTTACATTGTTGATTGGCTTTCCTTAGACCAACAATACAGCTTAAGAAGATGAGTTAAACAAAATGGTTTTAGAGAGAAATCAATATAAAGCAATCACAATGTTTTTGTCGACCATACTTGTCAAAATAAGATCATGATTAAATGTGCAAAGAAAAAAGATTGAAAAACCTGATTAGCTTATAATGGTGGAGGAACAAAAACAAAAATTAGATTTAGTAAACTTAAGCTCTGTCCACTGATGTGCATGCCTGTATTTTGTAGTGAAATCTTTGAAAACTTACATGGCCTGTAAAAGCTATAGCAACCACCAAGATAGCATATCCTGCATTATAAGCAGGTAATTTGTGGAGAAGATGTCTTGCAACAAAGACACAGAACATCACAAGAGGTATAACTATAAGTGAAATAGTGATAAAGATCGACCGAGCATTGGGTCCAAATATCAACCTCCCACCACAGAGGAACGTCTACAAAAGTTCAAGAAGAATAGAGTTAAAGCTTTCAACATGTAAAATGAAAGAAACCAATTTTATCTCATGATAAATATTTCAGACGTTCAAAAACAATTAAAAAACCTAGCATCAGGGATCGCCCTTTACAGTAACAAAAGATAAATCCAAAAGATTGTAAATCATACAGGAGCACGACATAATTAGCTACCCACACGGCACTAAGTATCAATAAATTTTCACCTTACACTAGAAAAGTTAAATATTGGGATTATAAGAAATGTCATCTAATTAATATTATTATTTATCCTAAAATACTCATGGATAATGAACGCATAACAAAAATTAATTTAAATTATATTTATAAGAAATGTCATCTAATTAATATTATCATTTATCCCAAAATACTCATGGATAATGAAAGCACAACAAAAATTGATTTGAATTATATTTCTACATTAATCAAGATTTATATATAACATTTTCGAATTTAGTTTCTATTTTTTAATTTAATAATATTTGTTATTTACATAAATTATAATCATCGGTATACATATGCTAAAAGTTTATTCATTTTAAAATTGAACATTAATATTATTATAAAGTATTTAAGTTTTAGTTTCATGGTTATATTATTAAATTTTTGTTTATATGATAATCATACTAAATTATGTTAAAAAGGATAGTTAGTTAAAATCTTATAATTTTTAAGAAGTTCAAAAAAAATTTTTTTTTTTGCTTGAAACTTTCAGATGTGCCACTAGCATATCCATATTCATATGAAAAAATATCTATTTAAGGGCTTCTTTGGTATGTTTAACAATTATTGAAATAATATAAGATTAGCATTAATGAAGAGAATATGTTATAATTAATGAATTTAGGCATAATCCATATACAGTTAGATTCATTAGATTTTTTATAGATAATTTCATATGTTATGACCGACTTTTGTTCATAAATGAATTTAACGTGATTTACAAGAATATTGGTTATTTCATATTTTAGCTAACGTTTAAACAACTACTTATAGGAAAATTTTATAAGATGATGGTGAGACCTACAATGCTTTATGACGCAAAATGTTGGCTCATAAAAGAGAAGTATAAAACTAAGTGTTGCAGAGATGAGAATGCTTAGGTGGATGAGTGTCTTAACTCTCAGAGACAACATGTGAAACGAATGTATCTGTGAAAAGGTTGGCGTAGCTCCAATAGCAGACAAGATTACAAAGAGTCGTCTTAGATGATTTGGTCACATTAAACATTGACTAGCTGATGATCCTGTTAGGAGAGTAAATATTTTGGATTCGATTTATGTTAAGAAAGGGAGAGGTAGACTTAAAAAGACTTCAGCATATTCTATAAAAAAAATGATCTTAATTTATTAGAAATAAATGAAAATATGACACTTAATAAGCCATGAGGGAGAAAAAGGATTTATGTAGCCGACCCCACTTAGTAGGATAAAGGCTTGTTGTTGTTGTTGTTGCTACTGCTAAACAACTACTTAATTACAGTCATTAAAAAATTGATTGTGGTCTAAATTAGTCATTTAAGAGGCAAATTTTGGGTTTCTTACTGAGACTTGAATTATTCAATATATGTCAGTATAATTATATTGCAACAGATTGATTATTTCACATATATTTCAAGTCAAAATAAAAAATTAAATTTGTGCTACAAAAAGATATAGATCAAAATGAAAAAAAAAAGTATTTTTCATTTTAATTTATTGAAATCAAGTTTAAAGTAACATACTTCTCTCAATAATAAATATTTATATGTGTATTTCCACTATAGTTACCTTACACAAATTTGTATTATAATGGTATTTTAGGGTGCACTTCTCCGCTAAATAAAAAATTATGAGGGTAAACTTCCCCTTAAATAAAAAGATAAACGAGTTTCTGTCTGTAAAAGACATGCACGTACATAGATAGAACCTATTAGGTAGGTTGAACTACAAAAATATTTATTACATCAATCTCTCTATACAGATTAGATCTACATTACAGCTTAGTTTCTTTTTTATTATGTTTGGATGTTGTAGATTGATTAAAGAAGAAAATTGCTAATTATCTTTAACTAAAATAGTTATCTCCACTGTGCTCAGCAATTCTACAATAATACTAACAACGCATATTTATTTGTGTGAAAATAATATATTTTGTAGCAATAGTTGTAATTGGTGTTTGACAAGATTATCTCACAAGTTTGTGTAGAGTTATCATTCTTTAGACCAATGCTCATTGTTAAAAAATTCTCATTAGCTTAATCATTCATTTAATATTAGCACTCAATTTTGTTTGTTCATTTTTCAGATCATTTTATTTAATAATTTGTGTAGTTAAAGTTGTGTATCGTGTCATTCGTATGGTGCATGACATAAATAACTCATCTTATAACACACCATATCCATTGCTCATCATCATTTATGAGCATAGTTATTATAACCAATTGTTAATTTATAGTTTAACTATTGGTAATAAAGATTTAAAGAGAATTGACTAATAAAGTCGAAGAATGTATTAGCATTGTTACCATAAAAAAACATTTGGTTTAATCTTTCGTACGCCATAGTTATTTTTGTGAGTGATATCCACTTAATCACTCAGTTGTATTGTTTATGTATTTGTTCATGCACTTGTACGCAACTATATTGTTAGTTTTTGAATCTCATTTATATATTTTTAGCTTTCACATATTACCTTTTTTGTTCTGTTTGTTGCTTTTAATGTATGTGATTATTACTATAGCCTTTCATTATATTGTGCATGATTGTATGGGATTTGTGCTGGGAACATTCTCATAAAGAAACTCTAAAACGCAACAGATTTGCCAAAAATTTACCACTCTCTTGTTGTGGATTAAACTGTCACACAGTTGCAAACTTGTTCAAAGTCAAGATTGTCAATGTTCAAAACACAATGTTAAGCACAAAGAGCAATATTAAGCGCAAAAGCGATTTATGGCTTTGAAGTGCTCAGCATAAACAAAATTTAGCGCATAAATTGACAAAAAATATACATTGTAAAACTACTCAGCAAGTTGAATATTATGGCAATCCAAGAATGCAAGAAATGCCTTGTAGATCATGATGCATTTTAAGTTAGAAAAAATAACAAGACCACCAAGTCTAGCTTTCTTCCAATTAGGGAGAAATGGAATGAGAGAATACATAAATATAAACAAGCAATGAACATTAGAGTTTTAAGTGGTTCGGTCCAAAAACCTACATACATTGTAGAGATATAAAAATTCCAGCATACAAGACATTTCTAGCACTTAATGGAAATTGAAGAGAAGAAAAATACATTTTTTATGCTTTCTTGAGAGATTTTGATAAGCCTAAAAAGGATTGAACAAATAGAATAAAAAGAGAGAGAAAAGAAGAAAAGAACTTGAACAATTAGCCTTTAGCTCACCGAACAAGACAAAGGGGGATGGGGAATAACAGTGAAGTAGAACCCTTTGATTATCAAAGAACCACCATCTTTTATAATCGTTGGGTAATGAGATAGACGTCCGATTCAAGGACGTAAACATGTTAAGCCGCCATGTGTAAGTACAAAGGAAGGGCAGAGTTGACTGTCAAAAAACAATTTCATCAAGTGGTGTATTCAAAGGTAATGGTGACACATGCTACAGCAAATTGTTGAATGTGGGTGACATTGATCAAAAAGCCTGAGGCAACCATCATTCTAATTTGGTATGGCATGTTGTGATGCATTCAATATCATGCAATCACATTAGAAGGATGGAGAAAGATTCTTGTGGAAAAAAGACTAATAATGAGCAATTTCAAACTAATACTAAATGAAATCGTAAAGAAAAGGAATCTTATCAAGTCATAAGTTGTGGTTGTGGGGCAATATTTTTTTGGGCGATAGATGACTGTCACGTCCATGACGCACGTCCATGACACAAATTACAACTAAGGCATGGGAAAAAAAGTGATTCACATTTCCCCTCATTTTGAACCTTATAAGTACAAGAAATGATTCAAAATGAACTTTATCATTTACTATGTCTTCTCACAACCCTCGCATTCAACATCAAAAATTAATTAACAATCAAAGAAACAGTGCAAAAAGAAATGGCAATGATGAGACAACCCCGCACAAGAAAGAATGACGCCAAAAATTTGGCAATCAAAGAAACTATGCAAGAAAAAAACAACATGAAAGCGGGAACCTAAGGAATCATTGGCACCTTTCAACAAGTTAAAAGATATTGACAATGTCAGTGCCATGGAGAGAACGAAGATATGAAAAATTGGGACACATAAGAAGTCAAAGCCCACAAAAAAGTATTGAATGGCTTAAAAAAGAAAGAGACAAAGGGCATGTTGAAGCTTTGATAGAGATCAAGAGGAAACGTCATCTTTTAATGCAGAAAAAGAAGTATCACAAGAGTCCAGACCAATGTGCGAATCTGAGAATGAAAGAGAAATAGGAGAGAGAAATAAAATATTAAAGAGAGAACCAGGTAAAGAATACTGATATATAGTGGTATTGTCAAAAGACATGTATTCACTACAATATGGGGAATAAACTTCCACCATACCAGACAATAAAAATGAAATTGCTTATGATGCCTTTATGATAATAGATCATATAAGAAATAGAGTTATAAGAGGACTCTGCACTCTTTCGAGAGGTTTTGTTAGAATCAAAGAGTATTTCAAAGTAATTTTAAAGGAACAAAAGGGAAAATGACGTAGTAGTCTTGTGATGTCTAGCCAAGAACCCAAGAAGAGAGTTTTGAATAATCGTGCCGCATTATATAGTAGCTAGTTGCAAAACGTGCATGTGGTTTGAAGAGTGGGAAGTGATCAAATGGCAACTAGAGGAGAAGAAAAATTATTATGTCCAAGGAAAGAGCAAAATGTGCCATTTGGCCTACTTGGGTTGTGTCAAGCAATGAACAAAGATGTAGGAGAGTGACACAAGTGTCTGTTGGCACTAGATAGAGGTGGGAAATCATCATCTCTAAAGCATGCCATGATTTGTTTGGTAAAATCCATCATTAGAAGGAATGGTTACAAGCATCCACGTGATAAGAAAAAAAGAAAATTTGAACGGATGTTGAAGCCTTCAATTGGGATGACTGGCATCTGGCTAACATGCAACTTAGCTAAAATCCCCTTTACTACAACTTTCGGTTTGATCAGCTTCTCAAGTCTTCTCCAGCATGTTTTTTTAGTGTGATAAGGTCTCTAATAATGATCACACTCTGCTTGATCATTTTTTTGAACAACCACAAAAATCCAATAAGCCAATAACCTATACTCTGGTTTTTTCAACAAAAGAGCAAAATATTGGGAGTGGCCTTTGACAATGTTTTCTTTGAACTCTTTCAGCTTACTCTCCTCGAACTTCTGCAAAAGCTTCTTATATGTTATAAAAAGTTTTCATTCCCAATAGCGACCTCTTAATTCAAATCTTTATTCAATCGAATTAATGGAAATCAATACATCTTTCTTCTCAAGTATTTGGGGATTCTTTAGTTTAACTTCTGGAAAGCTCCAATTGATTTCATAGAACATACCTATAAATTACCATAATTCCGTAAGAGCATTAAAGTGTCTGTTCACAGTCGTAATACTTTGGCATGTATTCTTATGAGCAGACCAAATCTCAAGCACAGTGACATGTTTCCAAGTGATATGCATTTCTTGCATCATATTCTATAACTCATCTATAGCTTTGTAGAAGAGGCAAGTTCAATCATATTTAGACTCCATTGGGTTTATGAACCAAGCTATTAAGTGTAGTCTTGACATCAATGCTCATGTAAACATTTTGGCATCATTGCTGGCACTAATCACCTAAAACAGCAGTTTTTTTACCCTACTGCTTATAAAAGAAAAAAACTTTAAACGGCTGTTTGGTAATGAATTTAGAGCGGGACTTAACCTAAATATAGGCTAAATCTTGCCGGAATATCATTTTGGACAAAATAAAGCCACATATTTGATAAATCCAGATTTCACAAATTTCGACCGTAAATCTCAGAATTATTAAATCTCATGAATCGGTGGATTTACAAGATTTACGAGATTTACAGGATACAGCTATTGGGATTTTACTGGATGTAGGCAGAACTTCCCAGACAATTTTAATGGAATTACCGGATTTAAGGGATTTTACTGTCAGACGGTTTTCGTGATTTAAGCCATTCAAAATTTAGTAAATCCAGATTTACGTGATTCACTAAATCCTAATAAGTTAAATCTCATTCGTTGTCATACTGCCCCTAAGACTGAAAAGCATCAAACCACGCTTCTATCTCCAAAGTTTCTTACTTTCCAGAAAAGGGAAATCAACACATATTATCTCCTTAGGTATCAAGGGGCATGTAGCCATAATCATGCCAAACTGATCCCTAGCCAACATTGGCATCTTATCAAAATCTGAACAAATCATAGAAAATATTAAAGATTCATGTCAAAATCACTACTGGGATTAGCAAAAAGTCTCAAAAGATTGTGACACTTTTAGATTCTAAACATTTTCATCTTACTAAATCAGCATGCTTTCGATATAGGAAAGAAAATTCACACCATGGAAGAATATTCATGAATAAAATAAGCTTTGTTGGAGAGAAAGATATTCTACTATCAAGTTAAGCAGAAAAGAACGATCATATAATATAAACAGAAAAATGGCCAAGTACCTAATGGAAGTGTCCAAATCAACTTCTATCGGATAAAACAAAAAACTTCCTAATCAAGACCACAATGGAATAGCCAGGCTGCACCATCACCCCAATCACAAAAGAACTCAAAATCACGGAATCATGTGAAAACCAACTTGCTTTTAGGCGACACAAAAGTCAGCCAAATATAGCATAACTTACGCCATACAGAAACCAAAATCACGCAGCACGGCCTAATCATAAAACACATCAAAGAAGCCCACCATGGAGAAAAAGTAACAAAATCTCCAAATTCAGGCAAACCTAACTTGTAACATCAAAGCCCTTTGAAAAAACTACTGCTGAAACCACTCCACTTTCCCAGGTTTGGTAATATCAGGAAAATAAAACCCAATAAAAGCAATTCCGTAGAAAAAAAAAATGCAAGAAACTCACATTGCTCCCTTTCCAATCTTGATAAACTCGCCGAGCCATAGGAGACGTTCTACCGAGCTAATTAACCAACACAAAATCCACAACGCGAAGCTCCAACTCTAACATCTTACTCTGCCGACCAGAAAATGGAGACAAGGCGAAGAATACATAAAACCGCAGGGCTTTCAACCTGGAGAGAAACCCAGGGAAGCTCTTCTTCTCCTCTTTTCTTCTATCTACCTTGAATTCAACAAAAATGGGGGAAATAAATCAAAGAGCAGGGCCATTATCGGTACGTAATTCTACAGGGGAACGGAGCAGCATCTCACAAATTTTTTCTGCATTTTAGAAGGGATCAAAGATCAAATTTTTCCCTAGGCCGCAGCTGGCAGAATCTGACGGCTTTATTATGGTTGAACCAGAAAATCAATCAATCCAATTTTTAAAGAGTTGAACGGTTTTATTATTATTCAATTTAACCTCTTCATTAGTTTGGATTATTATTGTATTTAAATTAAAACTAGATAAATACATTCCACCCACTTATTATTTATTTACGTATGTAATACCTAGGGAGCGTAAACGAGTCGAACTGCAGCGAGCCTAGGCTCAGCTGTGTTCATGTAATACGCAGGGGTGTAAACGAGTCATTCACAAATAAAGAATCGTTTTGACAATCCTAATCACGTGGTCATAAGATGTTAAGGATTGGAGCAATATTTAAAAATTATTATTTATAGTAAAACATCATTTGAATCTAATTTAATATTTTTATTCTATTTTCTTAATTATTACTTTTAATTGATTATAAATCTTTGTAGGCTTGTAGTTAATTAATTTTTTTAAAAAAAACTACTCTTCATATATATATATATATATATATATATATATATATATA